GATAGTCTAGAAGTAGGAGGCACTAATCGAAGTGGAGCGTTTAATACGGCAAGAACAGCTGATGGCTTGTGATGTTATTAATCACTACTGATCAGGGTATGTCGTGAGTGACACACTTAGGTCATGATGACCTAATCACGGGGACGTTCTCATTCTGTTATGACCCAGATGATATGACTGTTCAGTAGTCTATATACAACAGCACATGAATCAGAAACACTGGTGAATGTGTGTCAGTGTCAGTGTTGGAGTGAGAATACGGGTTATTATTCCCTGCTTTCATCATGATAGCTGTAGCTCTTGATTGAGTGTGCTCTCAATAGCGATGCCCTTTTCATCACGATTGTGTTTTGTCGTTATGATATTAGGACTATTTCAGGACACTTGCTTAATCATTTTTGCAAGTGTCAAACATGATAGGGTTTTACTGGTGCTAAATATCATGTCTTTTGAGCTTGCAAGTAATATAGCTCACTTAAGGATGCCAACGGATTTGGTTGCTTCAATCAAACAAGATGGTTGGATAGCCTAGTGGTTAAAGTGTTAACTCACCACTCTGAAGGCCCCAGTTTGATTCCTCACATGGGTACAGTATGTGAAGCCATTTTCTGGTGTCTCCAACAAGGATATTGTGGAAATATTGCTAAACATATAGTAAAACCAAACTTTCTCACTCACTTTTATCAAAAAGTTTATTTTAACATGTTCCCTTCATCTTGCAGTTACATGTGCCTGAAATTTCAATTCCTGTAGGAAATTCACTAAAACTTCAGAGTGTATGTCGTTGATTCAGCCTAAGATTTTGAGTATATTATGCATTATATTTTATCATTGAAATCCCCAACTGTAATACATTAAGATGGTGTCATATTTTCAGTTGTTGAGACTTGATTTCCCTGGCCAATCAAATTTTGCATTTCAAGCAAACTGTATGTCATGAAACTGGTCATTACAAGGGAAGTTACAGAGAAATTATACACCAATCATAGGATTACATGGTGTAAGTGAGAGAAGGCACTCAAATCTGAAAGTAGAATTCACAAGTTGTCATGATTTCTTCTTGACATTATACACTGAAGGGTTCTGAGCATACGCAGGGATATAACCAGAGCAACATTAAGTGAAGTTAACCATTTTGCACCTGCATGGTAGCCCCATGTACCTGTCTTGAAGCCTGGACTCAAAAATGTACGCAGGTAAAAAGCTCCATTGTAGTCGCCCAGCAGAGAGTGAGTGAGTTTAGTTTTACACCGCTTTTAGCAATATTTCAACAATATCACGGCGGGGACACCAGACATGGGCTTCACACATTGTACCCATGTGGGGAATCGAACCTGGGTCTTCATCATGAAAAGCGGATGCTTTAACCATTAGGCTACCCCACCGGCCCTCAACACACCAGAAGGGCAGGAGACAACTGCGTGGTTATAATGTCCTATTATTGATTTGTCTGCTGGTGTATTCAGCTATGACAATATCGATGATTATCAAGGACACGTATTGTTTGTAACATACACAGTTCAGATGACATTAGATACCACAGTGAGTGGAGTTGTCAAGGCCATGTTATATGTACAATAAAGTTTTGTCACAGTTTCCAACTAATTATCTCCAAATGTGAGATAAATGCTTTATATTTTCAATTGTGCCTTTTTATTTACATATGACAGAACCAGCTGGTACTAGTTGGTTGTTTAGTTTGTTGTTTAAGGCCACACCCAGCAATATTCCAGCTATATGGCGGTGGTCTGTAAACAATCAAATCTAGACCAGACAATCTAGTGATCAACAGCATGAGCATCAATGTATGCAATTGGGATATAATGACATGTGTCAGCGAGTCTGACCACCCGATCCCATCAGTCACCTCTTAAGACAGGCATGGGTTACTGAAGATCAATATTCTAACCTTCATGGGTAGTTGTCAAGATAGTATTGTTACGGGTTCTCGAACTAGTTACATGTAAACAGTAGTTTTGCATATGATATGTTGAATACAATGTGAGCATACTCTGAAGAAAGGGACCCAATGTTTGGAAAGAAGGACACACCTTTTCTGATTTGACACTCTGAAATACCTATATCTATATAGAAGACCTATATCTATTTATTGATGCTCATGTTGTTGATCACTGGATTGTCTGGTCCAGACTCGAATATATACAGACTGCCACCATATAGCTGGAGGTGAGGTGAGGTGAAATGGGGTTTAACGTCATACTTGAGAATATATTGCTGACGCTCTAACCAACCACAATAAACTTACTCATTTTTAGCATGCTTTTTGACACCTGAAGTTCACACACCTGATGTTGAAAATTAAAGAACAGTTGATTATTCTCTTGCCTCTGAATGTTGTGGAAAACATTGTTGATTTTAACCTAAACTGCATTCACGTCATGCCACGGCTTACAGAAAATCAGCATATGCTGAAGACTGGAATGGCCCAAAATGAAGTGACCAGACAAGTTAGTGTCCATCGTAACACGATCCCATCTCAATGGAGATGTTTTCAATATAATGGGAACACAAGAGATTTGCTTCAGACTGGCCGTCCACGCATGACGTCACGTCAGCAAGACAACCACATTCTGAGTATTCGATTCAAGACTACCAGTTTGACTGCTTGGACCATTCCTGGTTACGTCCGGTCAGTTCCAGTACTGTAGAGAACCGAGTGATGGAGCATCCGGGCCGCGAAGGCCTGCAATATGTCCAATTTTGCTCCAAAATCACCGACAGGCATGTCTTGCCTGGTGGAGACAGCATCTACGGTACAGGAGACAAGATGGGAATGGTGTTTTCTTCACTGACTAGTCGAGATTTCATCTGAACAGCTCAGATGGCAGGGAAAGGGTGTACAGATGGCGAGTTGAAGTGTATGCTGACGCATGCATTGTTCAATGTCGACAGTTTGGTGGTGGTAGCGTTATGGTGTGTGTGTGTGTGTGTGTGTGTGTGTGTGTGTGTGTGTGTGTGGTGGGGGGGATACACATTTCATTGTTGGACACAATGTGTCATTGTCAATGGCAATCTAACAGGTCTGTGATGCAGGGATGATGAGATCTTTGGGCCTCATTTGCAGCCGTTCATTCAAGGACAGAGACGTAACTTCACGCTTCAGCAAGATAATGCCCGTTCACAAGCCGCTCGTGCTGTGATAGCTTTCCTGAGATATCAGCCTGCATTAACACAATGGTTGACATTCGATACTGAATTTGACTTTTGACACCACCTCTGGTGCATGTCACAATGCTTAGTGTCAAATCATACAGATTTCAATAATATTTTGTCAACAGTTAAACAGTTATTAAGGGATACACCACACATTGTGTTATTATTGTTTGGGTGAGACATTCCCTGGTATATAGACTGTTGAGGTGAAACCTTCCCTGCTGTATATAGACTGTTGAGGTGAAATCTTCCCTGGTATATAGACTGTTGAGGTGAGACCTTCGCTTGTATATAGACTGTTGAGGTGAGACCTTCCCTGGTATATAGACTGTTGAGGTGAAACCTTCCCTGGTATATAGACTGTTGAGGTGAAACCTTCCCTGGTATATAGACTGTTGAGGTGAGACCTTCGCTGGTATATAGACTGTTGAGGTGAAGGTGCCCTGGTTCCTGGTATATAGACTGTTGAGGTGAAACCTTGTAGCTGGTATATAGACTGTTGAGGTGAGACCTTCGCTGGTATATATGAGGACTGTTGAGGTGCTGGTATATAGACTGTTGAGGTGAAACCTTCCCCTGGTATGTAGACTGTTGAGGTGAAGACCTTCCCTGGTATATAGACTGTTGAGGTGAAACCTTCCTGGTATATAGACTGTTGAGGTGAAACCTTCCCTGGTATATAGACTGTTGAGGTGAGACCTTCCCTGGTATATAGACTGTTGAGGTGAAACCTTCCTGGTATATAGACTGTTGAGGTGAAACCTTCCCTGGTATATAGACTGGGTGAAAGCGTAGTATATAGACTGTTGAGGTGAGACCTTCCCTGGTATATAGACTGTTGAGGTGAAACCTTCCCTGGTATATAGACTGTTGAGGTGAAACCTTCCTGGTATATAGACTGTTGAGGTGAAACCTTCCCTGGTATATAGACTGTTGAGGTATATAGACTGTTGAGGTGAGACCTTCCCTGGTATATAGACTGTTGAGGTGAAACCTTCCCTGGTATATAGACTGTTGAGGTGAGACCTTGGCTGGTATATAGACTGTTGAGGTGAGACCTATAGACTGTTGAGGTGCTGGTATATAGACTGTTGAGGTGAGACCTTCCCTGGTATATAGACTGTTGAGGTGAAACCTTCCCTGGTATATAGACTGTTGAGGTGAGACCTTCCCTGGTATATAGACTGTTGAGGTGAGACCTTCCCTGGTATATAGACTGTTGAGGTGAGACCTTCCCTGGTATATAGACTGTTGAGGTGAGACCTTCCCTGGTATATAGACTGTTGAGGTGAAACCTTCCCTGGTATATAGACTGTTGAGGTGAAACCTTCCCTGGTATATAGACTGTTGAGGTGAAACCTTCCCTGGTATATAGACTGTTGAGGTGAAACCTTCCCTGGTATATAGACTGTTGAGGTGAGGTTGTATATAGACTGTTCTTTCCCTGGTATATAGACTGTTGAGGTGAAACCTTCCCTGGTATATAGACTGTTGAGGTGAAACCTTCCCTGGTATATAGACTGTTGAGGTGAAACCTTCCCTGGTATATAGACTGTTGAGGTGAAACCTTCCTGGTATATAGACTGTTGAGGTGAAACCTTCCCTGGTATATAGACTGTTGAGGTGAAACCTTCCCTGGTATATAGACTGTTGAGGTGAGACCTTCCCTGGTATATAGACTGTTGAGGTGAAACCTTCCCTGGTATATAGACTGTTGAGGTGAAACCTTCACCATAATATATCTGTATTGACCAAATCTGATGCATATATGTTTAGGATCCCTATATGGAATCTGTTGAGTCACTAATATTCTGTTTTTGTTGCAGGTGACTAGGATTGCCAATAATGGGCTGCAGCTTCTCTCGTAGTCGTAGTGGAGATCTGAATTCACGCGTCTTCCGTGTTTACAATGTTGATGAACAAGGGCAGGAACTGAACCCTGGGAAGATCGAGGTCAGCGACACTGAGCTCATCCTCATCCAGAAAGGCAAGGAAGCCATCCGATGGCCGCTACGATGTCTAAGGAGATACGGTTTTGACGCAGAATTGTTTTCCTTTGAGAGCGGGAGACGCTGTCCCACAGGTGCTGGTATTTACGCCTTCAAGTGTCGTAATGCGGAGGCCTTGTTTAACACAGTCCAAGACTGCATCCAGCGAGCTGGGCAGGAAGACAGCAGCCGGGTCAGTCATAACATCCTGCCACCATCTAGTCGCCCCAACAGCCGGCCGCAGAGCATGGTGGACACGCCGACAGATATGGACGGAATATTCATGACCAACAGGACTGATTCCGTCACCAGTAATGGCAGTGCTCATCACTATATTAACGGCACTATAAACAATGACTTGCATGAGTACATCAATACGGGAAGCACGGCGACGCGACCGGGGTGTACAAGCATGGACAACGCAGCAGCATTGATGGACTTACTTCATAATGGCCCCCTGCCCCCAGCAGAGCCCGATCACCCACAAGTGACGTACGCTGTGTTAGACCTTGAGAGCACAGAGAACCTTGCTGAAAATCTAGGTGAAGATGGTGATGTGATTCGGAGAGACAGTGGTGCAGGAGACTCGCGGCATAGTCTCAGTATCGGAGGGGCAGGAGCTGTTGGTGTGGATGACATTGGAGCGGTCTCCCCAGATGGTGATGAGGAAGGGGGTGCTGCATGTCCTACATATGTGAATGTTGTTGCTGATTGCCCACAGACAGTACATGAGAAACCCATTCCTAATGGAGCAGCTGTCAAACAGCAGTCAGAACCTAATTATGCAAATTTGGACCTGGGAGAAAACTCCCCGCCTCCTAGGTCTCGGCATAAAGAAATTTTGAAAGTGAACTACATTACCCTGGATCTGAAGAACCAGCCCATGGACAATGGAACCAACGGAGCTAGTGCTTCGCCAACATCACCCACCAGTTTTGGATCCTTCCCAGAATCCCCATGTCGAAAAACGGACAGTTACGCAATGATTGACTTCAATAAAACTGCAGCTCTGCTCATTGCTGCCAAAAACGTGGACGATAGCCGAGGCGGTTCAGGCGGAAGGAAGACACGACACAACAGTGTCATAACAGACATGCCATAACATTGCTCAGTCAACCCATGTGCCATACCACACCCACATCTGGAGGGGAATCCGAGTTCATGCTTTGGGTGTTAACATACCTATGGTACACATAATACTACAGTATTTTGATAAGTTCCTCGGTGGATATTCAGTGTATGTTGTTGACAGACATTTGTCAGATTATCTCGTCCCCTGGCGCCCAGGACGAGAACCTCTGTTGTCACTCCAGTGTATGTGGTGATTATAGTATTTATGATGTGTCTATAGTACCTGCGCTTATTGTGTTTATACCGTCTCCTTAGTATTTATACTCTTCATATTGCATTTATGCCTTGGCCATGGTATTTAGGTATACTCATTTTGCATTTAATTCCTACCTATGAAAAAATACCTTGGTCAAAGTATTTATACTCTGGCCATAGGATTTATAGGCAGGCCATTGGATTTATATTCTGGCTACAGTATTTATAGCCTGGTCATAATATCTATACTCTGCTCATAGTATTTATATCCTGACCATGGTATTTATACCTTGGACAGTATTCATACAATGAACATAGTATTTATACCATGTCCATAGTATTTATACTCCATTAATAGTACTTATACCATGTCCATAGTATTTATACTCCAGACATAGTATATATATTATGACCATAGTATATATACTCTAACTGTAATATTAATACTCTGGACATAGTGTTCATATTCTGGTCATGGTATTGATACCCTCTTCATCGTATTTTTGCATTTGAAACTGCATTTAATGTTTATTTACCAGTCATAGTTTTCAGAAGTACGACTGTTATCCACTGCTTTTCTTCAGCTGCTATCCTGTAGCCGTGTACAACATCCAACCAGCTGCCGATACCATCTGTGTATTAGGGATGAAACCATACACCAGTGCATCTGTGCATCTTGAGTCTCATGCAACACTACAGTACCCAGTATGTTTTTTTGCCTCAATCGATACAAGACGATACTCTTACCGAAATACATACCACTCATTTTCTGACACCACCCACCCCCAGAATGTTTTTTAGTCAAATATTGCAAAAAGAAATTATTAGCTTTTGAAGTTTAATACATTTACACGTTTCTACAGCTAGCTGTGGACCTGCACTGAAATATTTATGGTCAAGAAGTTTCCTAGCGATTTGACATGAGTAAAGCTGTCACAAACACATAGTATCATGATGTATGAGATATGTATTGTATCATGCCCCTGCTGTATCATTTCACCCCTACTATGTATACACTAAGTATTGACACTCGGTAAGAAGTATTCAGTATTTACACTCCAGAAGTATGAATGTCATGTGCTCCAAATGAAGTACAAAGAATGTCATTCTCTTTTCACAGAGGTTACTCAAGTCATATCTACCTCTGTTCTAATATGGCCCTTTAATGGTGTGAGTGTTCAGGATTCGTGATTGGTTGCAATCAGATTTTGTTGTGCAGCAACGTTGTTTCAAAAGTGATCATTCGCAAGGCCTCTGTAATTTCCGTATGCTTCAGGAAAACTAGAACCTATTCCCCTGTGTGATACGCAAACGTTTCTTCTAGACAGATCTCAGTCATGTAATGGCGGATCAATAGCGTCTCCATTGCCACATTTGCTTGTATTAGTCAAGTTGGATCTAAGTTGACGTAACACGTGTTCTGATTAGATAGAAAGAAGGGAGATAATTTGTCTTGCGATTTTTTGCCACTAGGGGATGTTACGAGTATTAGAACAGAGGTTCGTAGGAAGATATGACAAGTGACCTCTGTGGGAAGAGAATGAAAGAATGTATGCTCCAGAAAATGTATAAATGAGTTGTACTCTTTCTGTAGTATTAATAAACTGAGTGTATTTTATCAGGCCAACAGGTTCTGCACTGCTCCCATGATATCCCAGTTGCATAGATAGTTGCTCCTGCTGTCAATCTCTAGATTTTCTGGACCAGATTTGATTACAGAACGCTGTTGTATGGCTGGAATACTGCTGAAAGTGGTGTTAAGCAACAGGAAAACAAAACATGCTCTGTTGCAGGCTGTTGTATTTGTAGCCTTGATACATTGTGGTTGTAGTTATATACTCTGGTGTATATTGAGATGATATTTTCCGTTGCTGGAGTGTAAATACAAGCTACTTCTACAGGCTGTGTTACATATGGCAGTTATAAGCTGATAGCTGCAGTTTACATCTGTTGTTATACCCAGGGTTGTAAATACACTCTCCTAGTGCTAGTACCCTGATTGCCGAGGATGCAACAGGAGGCTTGAGCTGCTGCCATAATGGGACATACAGCCTTACTGAAAGAAGATATCCGAGAATATAAGTAACATTTTACACGCTTTCATGTTTGTAACTCTGACATGTCAGGATTGACAAGTGTATTAATAATATAATTCAACTTTGGAAAAACATGACAAGGATGATATATTGTTGCCATGACATGATATATGTGATGTTCTGTGAGAGATTAACTGACGCTGGTAAACCACACATCCTTGTTATTCTGTTCTTTGTGTTCTCAGTATTTATCTTCCCTTCTTCATCCCAATAATTATCGATGTTGACAAACATGCCCAAATTTTCTTCTCTTTTTCATATACGTCTTCAGTGTTCATAGTGTTCATGCAGTCCTCATGTATGGTTTGAGTGAAGAAATTGTTTTGTTTTTAGCTGGTACTGTTTTAATTGTTACTGCCATAAAGATCAGTGTCTTGTAGTGCCTTGAACAATGACATTGTAGCCATGGTAACTCCATTCATCATGCCATACCCAGGGACCCCAACAGTTTAACAACTGCAAGAGATTGGTCATGTTAGGGTGCCAATATTGTCATGTTGTCTTTTTAGGGAGCCATCCCAACATTGTCATATTGAGGTGCCATCCTGTCATATTGAGGTGCCTCCCCAACATTGTCATATTGAGGTGCCTCCCCAACATTGTCATATTGAGGTGCCTCCCCAACATTGTCATATTGAGGTGCCTCCCCAACATTGTCATATTGAGGTGCCTCCCCAACATTGTCATATTGGGATGCCTCCCCAACATTGTCATATTGAGATGCCTCCCCGACATTGTCATATTGGGATGCCTCCCCAACATTGTCATATTGAGGTGCCATCCATTGTCATATTGAGGTGCCTCCCCAACATTGTCATATTGGGGTGCCTCCCCAACATTGTCATATTGAGGTGCCTCCCCGACATTGTCATATTGGGATGCCTCCCCAACATTGTCATATTGGGGTGCCTCCCCGACATTGTCATATTGGGGTGCCTCCCAAACATTGTCATATTGGGATGCCTCCCTGACATTGACATTGTCATATTGTCATATTTGGGTTCCATCCCAACATTGTCATATTTGGGTGCCTCCCTGACATTGTCATATTGGGGTGCCTCCCCGGCATTGTCATATTGGGGTTCCCTCCCAACATTGTCATATTTGGGTGCCTCCCGACATTGTCATATTGGGATGCCTCCCGACATTGTCATATTGGTGTGCCTCCCCTGACATTGTGCATTGTCTATTGGGACATTGTCATATTGGGATGCCTCCCTGACATTGTCATATTGGGGTGCCTCCCCAACATTGTCATATTGGGGTGCCTCCCTGACATTGTCATATTGGGGTGCCTCCCTGACATTGTCATATTGGGGTGCCTCCCTGACATTGTCATATTGGGGTGCCTCCCTGACATTGTCATATTGGGATGCCTCCCCGACATTGTCATATTGAGGTGCCTCCCCAACATTGTCATATTGGGGTGCCTCCCTGGCATTGTCATATTGGGGTGCCTCCCTGACATTGTCATATTGTCATATTGGGGTGCCATCCTGTCATACTGGGGTTCCATCCCCACATTGTCATATTGGGATGCCTTTCCAACATTGTCATATTGGGGTGCCATCTTAACATTGACGTTTTAGCATGCCATGTAAACATTTTCTTATGGGAATGCCAATCTAACATTGTCATCTTAGGGCACCATCCTATCATAGCCAACAGGGGAAGCCATCACGGGTTGCCGGTCATCCATGCATGCTTTTACTCATCTGTTTGAGCTACTGTGGTGATATTCCATGTGTTGTCTCTAGCCGTATTCCTAGATTCAGTGTCCCTTCATCACAGCTACTTGTTGCTTTCCTTTATTGTGTGTTTTAAGGATGGGAATGTATTACAAAAAGTTCACAAATGTTAAAATCCTATTAAAAGATTTCCAGCCATATTGCTGAGTGTGGTGTAAAGCTAAAAACTCACTATAACATTTTCCCTACCACTAAATCTCTTTACAACTTGCGTTAATAATTAAACGTGATCAGTACATTGAAAATGACATTTTCTAATTTCACTTTATCAACAAATGGTTCTGTAATCTTTCTCTTGTGACAAACAGCCAACAGTTTTGAAAGACATTCTCTAAACTACATTTTAATCATAAACAAGTAATATCAGTAACTTAACATGGAAATTCTCTTGCAAATAATATTTGATTGAATGGTTATTGTTAGTCGAGGTCCAGCATATTCATCATAACAGAATGGAGATATATTATACTGTATTATTGAAGAAGACAAAAACATTCATGTAGAGTTACACATGACGACACATGCCTACATTCTCTGTTTGTACCATTATCTTTGACATTCATGTAGAGTTACGACACATGCCTACATTCTCTGTTTGTACCATTATCTTGGTGACATTCATGTAGAGTTACGACACATGCCTACATTCTCTGTTTGTACCATTATCTTTGTGACATTCATGTAGAGTTACGACACATGCCTACATTCTCTGTTTGTACCATTATCTTTGTGACATTCATGTAGAGTTACTGACACATGCCTACCATTCTCTGTTTGTACCATTATCTTTGTGACATTCATGTAGAGTTACGACACATGCCTACATTCTCTGTTTGTACCATTATCTTTGTGACATTCATGTAGAGTTACGACACATGCCTACATTCTCTGTTTGTACCATTATCTTTGTGACATTCATGTAGAGTTACGACACATGCCTACATTCTCTGTTTGTACCATTATCTTTGTGACATTCATGTAGAGTTATGACACATGCCTACATTCTCTGTTTGTACCATTATCTTTGTGACATTCATGTAGAGTTACGACACATGCCTACATTCTCTGTTTGTACCATTATCTTTGTGACATTCATGTATAGTAGAGTGACACATTACCATTCTCTGTACCATTATCTTTGTGGGTGCCTACCAAGTATCAGAAAGCTAATGGTTAAAGCGCTCATCAGCACCAAGACCCGGGTTCGAATCCCCACATGGGCACAATGTGTGAAGCCCATTTCTGGTGTCCCCCGCCGTGATGTTGCTGGAATATTGCTAAAAGCGCGTAAAACCAAACTCAGTCAGTCAGTGTACCAAGTATCAGCCTCATCTCAATCAGGCTTTGAAACTTTGAAACTTATGATATTGGGTTCTGGATTTTATTGTGTTTTTAATTATGTCAGCACCATACCAAGGTTTTCATGAAAGTGGTAAACGTAACATATGTTGTCATATTTGGGATTACACTTTCTAAGTAAAGTACAAATTCTAGTACTTTTTGTGGGCTTGACTCCAATGCGAGATTCCAACCCACACCCTCAGAGTCAGGCACCTAATCGCCAGCACACAAAGTCAACCGCCTAACCCGCTCAGCCACCGCTGCTTCCACAAAAATGGAAGTCCGTTTTCTGGTAGTCGAGACTTCAGACTTTGTGTACCACTCTGAGAAGTGTAAATTGGCACGACTCACACGTCCGAAAGCTATGATTACACATTGCCATTTTAGAAAGTTGTCAAATGTAAGTGAGTGAGTGAGTTTAGTTTTACGCCGCACTCAGCAATATCCCAGCTATATGGCAGCGGTCTGTAAATAATCGAGTCTGGACCAGACAATCCAGTGATCAGCAGCATGAGCATCGATCTGCGCAATTGGGAACCGATGGCATGTGTCAACCAAGTCAGCTAAACTGACCACCCGATCCTGTTAGTCGCCTCTTACGACAAGCATAGTCGCCTTTTATGGCAAGCACATGGGTTGCTGAAGACCTATTCTATCCCGGTTCTTCACGGGTCTGGTCAAATGTAACATGTTATATTTGGGATTACACTTTCTTAGTATAGTGCAATTTCTAGTCCTTTTTGGAATTTGTACTTTACTAAGAAAGTGTAATCCCAAATATGACATATGTTACATTTGACCACTTCCTAAAATGGCATTGTGTATTCATAACATGGTAAAGGTGTGAAACCTGAACTTTGGGCTTTCCCTTACACACCAACAAGCCGTAATGTTTCAAGAATACTGATCAAAGCAGCTTTAAACCTGACTCACTCACTACTCCGTCATCATCAGCTCAATAGCTTTCAGTGAACAGCCAAATATTTTTGCTAAGGGTTCTGTTGATATATGTATGTTACAAAGTGGGTGCTTCCTGGTTTGTGTGTTGTGCTTCTGTACTAGGATCTTTGTAGTTCATGAATACATGACATGTTTTGATGATAACAACTTCTTTTTATTCTTTATACGACGTTTCAGAGCTAATTCTTGCTCCTTCATTAGGTGTATACTGAGTCAGTG